GTATCGAACTGGAAACTTTGTTTTGGACTTTTATTCAGCAGCCAACTTTGTGTGCGTCAATTATGCCAACATAGCAGATCCTCAGAGGCTTAAAGCGTTGGCATCGCCTCTACACTACCTATTGTAACCTTTGCATCCAGTTTGTGAGAATAAGCCTCCACGGTTTCCTGTGCAATTACCAGCCGAGTACAGTGCAGACCTGGAGCTGACATCTTGATCCACTGCTGTGCGGACTAATTCCCCAACATCCCCCCTGTCTGATACAGCACTCGGGGTGATTGAAATAATCAATGCAACCGGTCCAATGTGACAAGGTCTTAGGATGGGCCATGTTATAAGAACATTGATTCCCTATTTTTCTTATTTTTTTACTGAATTCATACTGCAGGACTTAAAATTAACAGGGAGTTGGTTCCCGCTCCCCCACTTCCTTACCCTTATTTCTCACGCCCTTGCTCCAACCAAACCCATCTATTGACTTAACCCTCATTTTAGTCTCAATTTTACATCTGTAAAGTTTTGTGAAAGCATCTTTTATAACTGCGACGACTTTACATTTCTATGGCCACACAGAAATATGAAGATCTGGCAAAGTGCCCCAAAGTGCTTATTTTGTTAGCCCCCCCATAGTTGGTGTCTTCAGGAAAACATTCAACCAGGATGACACACAGACTCACAAGCAGGAAACAGTAGCGATGCTGTAGTGGCAGGTAATAATACCTTGGCTAATAATACTCAGGCTTTGAATAATATATGAACAAACTCCTCTGTAGAAGCCTTCTGAATATAGATAGGAATGAAACTATAAAGTTTGTCGTATACAAGTGCAACTTTGCAAAGACTATTTAACATGCAACACCATTTGATACGATTGTATGAAGAAAAAAAAACAGAACTAATGTTGAGAAAATGCCCTATATGGATATGTATTGTAAAATTCTGCTAAAAATGACAGGTGTATTGTGTAACACATTTTGGATTTAAAACATTTCGGAAATTGTATATTTTAATATGCAAATAATGTATCTTATGTTAATTGTTGGTGAATGTTATGCAAGCAAAATAGCCACTGTAGAATGTTGGCACATATTTCTGCAAAATACTTCAACTTTTAAATCTGCACAAGTCTTCCATTTGTGTATTAAAATATACACAGTATTTTTGTTTTACAGCATTTGTCATTTATTCCCTTTTTGTATGTTTTTATTTCTTGTATATTTTGTATTCTTCTTTATTATAGTTGTATGAGCTGTGGTGCTGGTTTCCTTAACTTTATGCACCACTATACACCAAAGAAAATGACTTACTTAAATAATTACTAAAAAAGTGAGGAATAAACCGAATTATGATCCAAAAAATATGTTGTTGCCAAAAGTCATTAAAATAGCTATAACCAACATACAACCCAAATGTCTTGCTTTCTTATATTTTTTAAGAACACATTTGTGATGTTCTTAATGGTTGGTTATGTCTAGGAGAGAGAGAAAGCAGAGAGGAGGTACACAGGAGTCAGAGAGACAGGCAGACAGGCAGACAGGCAGACAGACAGACAGACAGACAGACAGACAGACAGACAGACAGACAGACAGACAGACAGACAGACAGACAGACAGACAGACAAACAGACAAACAGACAGACAGCAGAACAGCAGCAGTTCCAATCCACGCGCAGCCGGGACCCCTATTGGTGCCGTGCGCGCGCAGTCTGGAGAGAGTGCAGCTCCGCGAGACCTCGCCTGAACACCTCCACCTCCTCCACCACCACCCTTATCATCGGCAGCAAGCTGTACTATCGTGCTGCGTTTCATAAGAGGACGTTAAAAAGCCGCGTCTGGGGATACACATCTTTCCACTCGGAGATTTTAAACTTCACCGCGTGAGGCTTCGGAACTTCTTCATTCCCTCGCGCAGATGTGGACGCATTGAGGAAGCTGCACTTTTTTCCTTTTATAGAATATAATTGTACTATTTATTTCCACAGCGGCTCAGACTTCTTTCAACCATGATACAGATGTGATATGAGCAAACTGCTGCTGCACTATCGACGATATGTCCGCAATTGGTATACCTTGATAATAAATAAAAAAGTAGCTATTAATGAATTCCAGGATATAACTCTCTCTCGGTAAGTACTCCACCATTTGTACTTGATAATTAAGTCATTAGCATGTGTGCGTTTGTGTTTGCTTAGGTAATGTTTAAACCCAAAACCACATGTGATTAAAATCCGCAATATTATAAACGCCACGAGACTGCTTACTCTGCATTTAGGCACCATTACCCTGATTACATTTGTAATCTTTCCCCCAGGTTTTTCTTCCGCTTAAGGTCCACTTAATATTTATTTTAGGATAAATGCTATTCATTTAAATTTCATTTCAAAACTGAAGAAAAACATCTGTTGCCTATTTACATTATAGCCTATTACATTTCATTTAGCTGATAATACTTTACCCAAAGCAACTTACAATAAGTGCATTCAACCAGGGCCGGTCCTATAGACATTTTGGTGCCCTAGGCGAGATTATGATTTGGTGCCCCTCCCCCCTCCAAGCAATACACAATAGAATATATAAAGAATAAATGAAAAATCTCTACAAAAGACCAATACACTACAAAAACTGAAACGTATTGACATGTTGGTTATATAATAAAGAAGGTTTCAAATGTATTCATTATTGTATGAACATGTTTTAATTGGGGGGTGGACGTCACATCCCCTAGGGGGGTCCGGGGGTATGCCCCCCGGAAAGATTTATTTTAACATTTTAAAGTAAAATGCTTCAATCTGGTGCACTTTGAGCAGAATTACTAGAGACCTGATCTAGGGGGTACAACTCTAAACACCCATCTGAAAAAGATCGGTTTACATTTTAATAACCAAATAAGTATGTGAACATAACCAATAACCTACCACAGCCAATAACAAATAAATGTAACGTATTTTATTTTTGTTGTTCATTTATATCTTATTTTACCTTAACATTTATTTATTCATGCATTTTTTTTTATATCTCCAGTTTTAAACAATATTTTTGGTTTACTGTCCTATAGTATACATTGGAATGATTTCAAACCTGTTTTTATTTATCCTAATAATTATAAAGGAGTGCCTTGGAAATATTTGTTAACATACATTTTGACCAAACCGTTCGAGACCCACTGAGATAACTTAGACTAAAGTGAACTATCTAAACCCTCAGAGTCCTTTACCTCACTGAGCTGTAGTTATCAGCCTCAATCCAACAACAATCCGCGGTACCGATGCGCGCCCTCTCTCTCTCTCTCTTGCTGGCTCGGAGGCTCGCTCGCACTTTGGCTGTGAGCTGCGGGCGCCAGATAAGTCAACATCCCCCACTTTCATCACTTACAGCGCCCATCGTACAGGGGAAATGAAAAGTGTAACCGGGGTGAAAAGGGTGTTACCTTGACTTAATTATGAATGTTGTTACATCAAGGCTGAACATTAGGATTAGCCAAACAGTCAAAAATTTTGTTTTCCCTCCCAGAACTACCAGCGCAGCGCCCCCCCAGATCTGGCGCCCTATGCCAAAGACCGGCCCTGCATTCAACCATATATACACTCAAAAGCAAGAATCCTGCATCCTATTTATAAACCACACTAGACTAAGTGCTACTGCATTTAGCTTCAATTTAAGCCATGCTTTCTAAATGCTACATACAGAGGAGAGAGATTTTTATTTTTATTGGCCAAGAGGCTGTCTTAACAGGTGGGCTTTCTGCTGTCCTGATATTTAATTGACAGTTTGCCATTCAATTTCATTTTAAGAGAAAAAGAGCACAATATGCATGTGTAAACCTTAATTTAGCATAGTATAATTAATAATTAATTAATGATGCAGTGGTGTCATAACATTTAGCTTTCCCTTTGTTGTGAGTCCACATCATGTCCACACCCCCTGCTGAGCTCAGACTGATGAGCTTATTGAAGACTCTTCTGTGCCCAGAGCGTCGAAGCCAAAAGGTAAAAGGAAAGAGAAAAAAAGAGAGAAGAGGACACCGGCTCCATGGGGTGGTTGACCTCGCACACAGCAAGGGGTTCATGGTGCGAAGTTGAACACTTTAGCCCAGCAGAGGGTGCGCAGTCCTACAGCGATGATCCTCCTGCAGGACAAATGGAGTCATTTCCCAGCACGCACCTATTCTTACCAAGTCTGTAAATGAGAGACAGTGCTTTACAGGAGGGAACCATCCAAAATAAATATTTCCACTATTGTTGGGAGAAAGGTGGATATAAGCTGCTTTTTTCGTCTTCGTCCAGCTTTGATATGCACCAGTATGCAGTTGCATCAGAGGTTCATGTTATGTAACGCCTATGCTAGACATTGCAGAACACAATTATGTTTTCCTAATTGAATGAAAATATGCTGGTGATGACCCAGGAGGAATGTGCCTCCTGGTTTATGAGATTTGCTGGAGTGAAATGGATTCTTCCCCGTAATTACGTTACACTTCTTGTCAACATTGGGAAAAGCATTTACTCAGCTCATTTTGGCAAGACCGAGGCAATGGCCAGTGCACTTATAGAAGAGTTTGGAGGATTATTTCTACAGTATTGCCTTCCTCAGCTAAACTGAAAAAGTAAATTGTTTTTTTGTTCAAGAATAACACTCTTCTCTTTGTTTCTTTCAGTGCACCGCATGCCAGGCTGATACCAGCGCCTCACTCTGAACTCTCCAAGGCTTTGAACATTGTCACAATAAACCTGCGATTACCAGTCCCCTGCCGGAATATGCTCAGTGAGCAGCTCAACTTTTGGAAGAGCTCTTTTGAAATCTACTTCAAAAGATTCTGCAGAAGTCTATGAAATCAAATTTGAAGACTTTTCTCATGATAAACCCCTACGTTGCCGTGCATGAACTGATGATTTGGGCCTTTTCGAAAGCGAATGAAGCTGGAGTCATCACTATTTAATGCCAAGAGACAAGCGGAACAATGATGAATTATACCTGACGCAATTTGGGGAGGCACTGCTGATTATGCAGAAGGTTGGCGGGCTTGATATGCCCAGGAAATCCTCTATCCTTGATGGCTTTGCCGTGATATGGTGCGTGGTGTTTGGATTATTCATCGTAATTGCACCAGTGATGGCTTGTCCCACGACTTGTCACTGCATGGAGAAGAGTGGAAAGACCGTGGTCCAATGTATTTCCCGTAACTTGGACATCATACCACCTGATCTCCCAAGAGATACCGTCATCCTACTTTTGGCGTCCAACCACATCACCCACATCCCCAACCAAGCCTTCAAGGACCTGCACTACCTGCAGGAGCTGGACCTGTCCAACAATGACATTGAATTGGTGGACCTCGGAGCTTTCCAAGGCGTTTCTGACAGCCTCCTTTTTCTGGATCTATCGAACAATCGGATCCAAAGTGTCCCTAAAGAGGCATTTGCGCGACTTCGGGCAAAAATTAGCCTCTCGAACAACCCGTGGCACTGCGAGTGCACGCTGCAGGAGGTGCTGAGGGAGCTACGGTTGGACCCTGAGACGGTGAACGAGGTGATGTGCCACACAGCGGTGCAGGAGGAGTACGCTGGCAAACCGGTGATCCAGGTGCTGGACTCAGGGATCAACTTCTGCAACTTCCACCACAAGACCACCGACGTAGCCATGTTCGTCACCATGTTCGGGTGGTTCACCATGGTGATCGCGTACGTCATCTACTATGTGAGACACAATCAGGAGGACGCTAGGAGGCACCTGGAGTACCTCAAGTCACTGCCAAGCAGTTCTCAGATCAGCAAGGACTTTGACACCATCAGCACTGTTCTCTAGCAGGGCCATATTTATGTGAACACATTTGTGGTTTTGTTCAATGACTAAAAAGCTGTTGTAAAACATAATCACCAGTGTTTCTAAGGTTTATCAGTTCTTAAAATCGATGAAATCGACTTTTTAAGCCCTGTAAATTATGTCCTTTTTCTTACTACTGGCACACAGGGAAACATTGATCGCACAAAATAAACAAAATCTCCTAAAAGTCACATTTCTTTGACGAACGATAGATCAAGACTGAAGAGATAAATGTCCCAGCTCTACTGTCGATCCACAGTCTGGTTGAATTTTCTCTTGTGAAGAATGAGTCCCCTTGATACTTTTTATTGATTGATTTATGTTGTTTGTGTCACACTGTCAAGATAAAGGTCATTTTACTTTGACATATGAAATAGGGCAACAATCAGTTTGCATGTAAAACAGCCCTGCCTCCAGGAAACTGGAAAACAGGAAACTTCTGACCCAGGAAATAAGGTTACGCATTCAGTCAGACAAAATGTATTCAAACAAGAAATTGTTGGCACACACTTCCAGCTCTGAAGAGTTTTTCGTATACCAAACATGATCTGAAGAAGCATTTCAGAATCATGACCAATGAAAAGATGATCTGAAAGATCAATGTCAATATGACATAATATTACCAATATTACTTGTTTTCACAATACAAATGGTTATATCGTTTTATATAAACTTTCTTAATTTTGCAGATATTGATGATATTTAGATTTTTACAGCAAACAACAAACAATCCAAAGTAAAGAAGAATTTGTTCAAACTAATTTGAACTATTAGTTAATCAGAATCTAATATTACACCTCCACAAAAATGATATCATCGTCCATTGTTAGGTATCACCTAGGACATCGTAATATGCCAGGTTCGCCCAACTCAAAATAAAAATTTCAAATCTACACTGCTATATCATCCAGTACACCACAGCATAATTTAGAGGAGCTTTTATATTATGACATCTCAAAAGAGTCAATTATAGCACAGGTAAAAAACAAGTCATATGAAAACCCTTCGTATAAGAGTATTGATTAATGCAGCTTTGTACCAGTCACCTTCAGAGCAAATATCACGGTCAAAAATTGGTATGAAAGTATTTATGTTGAAGATTATGTTCAGACATTGTTTCTGTTGTATGTGAAACAGCAACAAACCGCAAATAGCTAAGTTAACATGACATGACCATTACAACATTTTATTTTACATAACACTGTTTGGACAAAAACATAATTCATTGGTTTCCTCATTGATAAAGGGTTGATTGTGTTCAAGTGCCTACTGTCTGGGGCACCTACACCATAGCACTGTGTACTAAGTTGGACAATGTAGTGTCAAGTCAACAATCGCCATTGCAGAAGTCATTCTGCCACAACTTATGCCTAGCTAGTTTCTATTTACGGCTGGGTACTTAATGCATGAAAGGTATTAAAGGTCCAATGTGTAGGAGTTAGTGGTGATGTGGCAAATTGCAACCAAGTTAACCCCTTGGCTCACACCTCACTTTACAAGCAAATGGAGAACCTATAGTGCCTTCATGTAATTTAAAACTCAAAAGGCCCTTTCTGGTAACCTAATGTTTGGAAATGGGCAGCGTGGATATGGCGATTGGATAAGCAATGTGTCTATCAGCATCCTTCATAGGCTTTCTTCTACCAATCAATTCAACAAACCATACTCATATGCAAACTCTCAAGCCAGATTACCTTGCTCCCCTTCTGCACATCCTTGTAAGAAGTGTAAAAACATTTTTCCTTCGAGAAAAGCATCCAGTGCTTTGCATCAATGAAATGTTGTGTCCCAACCACTGCTGTTCTGACACCAATGCATTACTTGGAGCCTGATAGGATGGATGTTTGCCTTATCTCTGGTTATCAGGAGAATCGACCTGCCATGCATTACTGTATAACCTCTCTTGAGTCAGAGATTGGTTTGTCCATTTTTAGCCACTTAAGAATCATGGTGGAATCCATGGGAGAGTTCATGGTGGAATACATGGGAGACTTCCTACTCTCAATGTAGAAATTAAGGGCTCATTCTAGGTTGACAAAACCCAACAAGTCTTTATTTTACAGTAATCAAATCAAATCAAATCAAAGTTTATTTATAAAGCACATTTAAAAGCGATTTTTGGTCGGGCCAAAGTGCTGTGCATGTAATAAATACTACAATCACATAAAAACACATTACTACAATCACAATAAAAGACAATAAATTGCAACAGATATATAAAAAACACAGGGAAAAGTCAGGAGTCGTGCTCCGCTCTGACTAAAAGGCCAGGGAGAAGAAGTGTGTTTTAAGAGTAGATTTAAAAACCCCTAGGGTCTGGGCCGACCTCACATGGAGGGGCAGAAATGAAGTAATGAAATCATAGTGTATGAAAGTTATATTCAGAATGTCCCCTAAATCCTACACACCTTTAAAGCCCAATTCCCCAGATATTTGGAACTTTCTAAAAAGAAAAAAACGAGTGCCAGAACAACATAACAGAAAGAAAAATGTAATGTGAATTTTAAATACTTTTCTGTTGTCTTCATGTAAAGATCCCCATTAATATAGTCGTTTAAGCAGGTTTATATAAGGATAAATAGTTATTTTCAACTAACACTCTAGTCAGTGATTTGTTTTTAATGTTCTGTATTTGCATCTGGCAAAGTAGTCTTTTTTTGTACAACTGTAGGTCTATTTGTTAAAAAGTGTCTATCTGTCTGTGCAGTTTTGACCTGTCTACAACAATGTTTGTGCTGGCCAATGTGAACACAACTTTAACAATTTTAAAGGAAGCACATGTCATCTGTGTTGTTACTTTGTAATAAAAGCTAAACCAATATCAAAGTGTTTAGATGTCTTTAAGACCTTGTTCAATGTATTTTCTGCATCTGTAGAAGAGTATGACTTGTGTATGTCTGCGATGGAAATTAAAGGGCTACAATAAATGTGTTTGTGATAATAACAACAATTTTCTATCTGTTTAGGTAATTACTGTTTGTTTGTTGGATTTCATGGATTGTATGGTCACCCTACCAGCATTTCAAAATAAAAGTTATTTTCCAGGACCCTTCAGTATCATAATGATTATTTCTACTCGGCTAAGTATTTTCGGAAGAAAGCCAGAGAGATTTAAACTGCAAGAAAACATTATTTAAAACATTGGGAAGCGGCGCACTCCAGCCTCTTGTGGCAAGAAGGAATAATACTTTTTTAGGGTTATACTGAGAATTATGCTGAAAAAACAACACTTTTCAAACATTTTTCATTGCGTGGGGCCTGAGCTCCGCAGAGCTCAGGCTGAGTGAGTGTGTGCGTGTGTGCGCATTTGGACTTAGTGACGAAGAAAAAAATGGAAAAAGAAAATCTCCAACGAGGCGTTCTGGGGCAGCATAGACACGTCTTTTCTGTGTTAGAGTTTTACTCGCTACAGGGTGTACTTTGAGGGTTTGTGACTTTGCAGACCGTTTACATGCAGAAAAAGCTACATAACACACAAGGGGACGAGTAATAACCAGAAAAGCATATGATGGGACCTTTAAGGTAAGGGTAATATTGTGGTCAAAGCAAAGAAAAAAAAGGTATGATTTGGGTGTCATCATTAAGCTTTTCATGTAACCAATTACAATATCTAATACATTTATGGTTGACAGTTTTTACATCCAGTATGTCTCTATCTTTTAGTGTCGAAGTCCAACATTTTTGCGCTGAAATCAAATTTCCTTCACGCACACAGGGGCTTCACAGAAAAGCAATGCATGCATCCAGCGTTATTTTATGTCATTGATATCTAGCAGAATCAGACCAGGTAAATTCATAGGGGGAAACATAGACAAACTGACAGGATAGAGACAGGCATTTATACACACAAAGATTAATCACATAGAGAAGACACAGCTGGAGAGACAAAAGGGCAGCGATGTGATTACACACAGGTGGAAAGAATTAGGGCAGGGCAGATGATCACCAAAGGCGGGAAAACACAAATACAGAAAGTAAAACAAGACAAAACACAAGAAAAGTTTGTTCTATTTCGTATATGGCTTCGCCCTCTAAGGCTATCGCTATTGGGTAATCCCCTGCGCACCCGCGCAGCACTGAAAACACTTGTAATCCACGGCCACCTGCCTACGGACTCACTTCCGGTATAAATAGGAAGATGGCCCGACAATCTGCTCCCACTTTTCTGTACTGTACTGCACTGTAGAGACACTAAAAAGCAAAGGCTCTTTTAAGAGCCACCTCGAAAAAGATCCTTAAACGTGAGTACACAGGGTTGTGTTAGAGTTTGCTCCTCATGCCAGACGGGGTTCATAATGAGTTATGACCGGCACTCACGATGCAAATCCTGCCTGGGGTCGGAGCACGCGCACGCGGCTCTCGCCCAGCAGGTGTCATGTGCTAATTGTGCCCGTCTCCCTCTGGCCGACAGACAGCGAAGAGGGGACACTCTCGCTGCTGCGGCCGAGGAGGATGATTAGCCAGTCCAGGAGTCCTACTCCGTGGACCAAGCCCTGGAGTTCCTGGATCCGAGTGCCGGGCAGGAGTCGGAGGGATCACTGCGTGATTCCCCCATCCCGTTTCTCCCCCAGACGGAGGAGACAGAGATGGAGCCCGGTGCCGGCCCGGCTGCGGAACCTGCGGTCCCTCGTTCCGCCATCACGGCTCTGCCGTCGATAGGCAGGATCCTGCAGGAACTGCCGGAGATCATCGAAAAGGCAGCCGCTTGGAGAGGTCTCCTCGTTCCCCCAGCACAGGAGAGCTCTCCTGCCGACGACATGGCAGGAGTATTCTCCCGGGTACAGACCGTCAGGAGTGATTCAGCGGTACCTCTGGCTGCAGCAGGGGGCTATACCGGAATCTGCAAGGAAGGTCCTGCTTGAGGCTCCAATCAGTCCGGACGGGCTGTTTGGACCTCATATCCAGGCCATGGTGGAGTCGATGAAGTCAGCCTCGGAGAAGGCGGACGACATCAGACGGCATGTCAGCTGCCTTCAGCCTGC